ATCTATATATTGGTGACTGAAGTTGCTGTGGTACCAGTGTCAAGAGGGCTACTGACCTTTAGTCTCATCTCCTTGATATTTCTTATCCTTTTTGTTGCTGTCTTCTCTAGACTGTCTTAGGCAAGGAGGGTACCTGAAGAATCATGGTCTATATGCCTAATACATATTCTCTACAACTGGACTATCTTGTTCTCCTGCAGCCTGGTTGTCAGCAGCCTCCCTCACCTCTCCATGCACAGTAAAGTTGGAATATTGTAGTTCATGCCTCATGGAGTCTCCATAGGAGTAAAGTGACAACCTTCATCTTCAGTAGGACAAGCTTTGTTGGGCTTGGCGTTCCCAAGCACTCTGGGATCCCTCTTTTCTTTCCTCACATGCTCACTATTCTGGTAATTCTGCTGGTAATTGCGTGGAAGATTCCTACAATGTAGATAGCATCTACAATGGCTCAAGACTGCTATGTATTTATACCCTTGAACTAAAACTTTACCAGGGCCTATAACATCTTCCACCTCGACATCATTTTTTCCTTCAACAGCATCAAATTACACAGTCTCTCCATCTCCTGCACTGTAAAGGTACTTCCTGAAGTTACTCTTTTATGACAGTATAGTATACAAATATATCATTCCTGTTGGTTAAAACAAGTCTATTCCTCAAAATAAACTTTTTAAGGTTCCTCAAACCTTCCCTGAGTAACTGTGTCCTGTACAACTGTCTGTGGTGCCAGGCACAGTGTCCATAGCACCGAGGGAGGGGCAGAGGGGCAGCAAGACACTAGTTGGCCTCACTGCTCTGACTGCTGAGAGTTTAGTGAAATCCACTGTCTGTTCTCCTCTCCCAAGAGAACTCCACTTGTAACTTTTGTTTCCTCTAAAACTGATAATCTGCTGTTGATAACATACACAGTGGGTTAACACATACTTTGCATTATGTGTGTGTGTGTGTGTGTGTGTGTATGTATAAATAAAATATATAGTGGAAAATATGCAAGAACTTCAAGAGATCCTTCTTACTGCCATATGAAATTTATTGAAGAGGTGAACTGCTTACAAGAAGATAATTAGTATTTTAAGTGGATACAACATTTGAGCTCACCAAATCAGAAACAGTAGAGGGCTACCAAATTATTGTAGTAGCAATGTATGCATTACTACGGTTAATTTTATACATATACAATTAATACTACAACTTTATAATGGCTTATATTTCTCTCATCTGCAAGTGATGCCATGTGTGGTATGTGTTTGCATAAGTTCTAATAAATTTTAACTTGTTATCAAGTTGGGTATATGCATAGTGGTAAATTATAACAGAAACTATTATCTATATACATTTGATACATTCATGACATGTCGTCTTCTTAGGTTTCTTGATTTCTCTTCTGGGCTACACTGTTCATCTACAAGTTGTCTCAAATTATTGCAAATCTTGAAAAAATCTGCATGTAAGAGGACCTGGGTAGTTCAAACTCATGTTGTTCAAGGGTCGCAAAATCACGTTAAGGAACAAACATGCTTTCAGCATAGAAGTAGCTTTTTGTATGCTTCTTTTAATTTGTATGCAAAAATATGTTCCCATGGCTCTTATAAATTTCTGGAGCAACAGCAAACAACATGATTACTTAAACATTCTTAAACAGTCAAATAAAAGCTTAAAAACAAATGAAAATTCCTGTGCTATCATAGGAACTGGTTACCTTTTAATTACCCTTGAAAGAGGGTAATATAAGTGCACAGAAAAATTATTTAAAGCATAAAATTAATTAAAGCATAAAAACAAAAAACTTATACTGTGGAACAAAGAGATATCATAACGATTGCTAATTTTCTTTTTTGAAGATATTTTTAGCTATAGGTGGACACAATACCTTGATTTTATTTATTTTTTATGTGGTGCTGAGGATGAAACTCAGTGACCCACACATGCTAGGAAAGTGATCCACCACTGAGTCATAACCCCAGCCCCTGTTCATTTTCATTCATAGATAAGAAAACCAAAATACTGAGGGGATGAACCTTTTAAAACTCTATAACTCAAGCCACTGGCAAATTATAAAGTATTTACTTATGTGTTCAACTATCCATCAAATTCTGGTTGAAAAAGCAATGAGCCAGACCAACTAGGCTTCAGAATACCTTATAATATACTTTAAAAAGATATACAAGGATTTTCCCTTAATTGTCTCTTTCCTATTTGTTCTCCCTTGTCTCTTCTCCCACCCCCTTTGCATCCTACAGATGTCTGAACACATGGTGTTCTTTCTCTAGTTTGAAATTTGCTCCCTACTTTCCTGGTCCACTTGGAAAAGTTGTATCTAGTCATATTTTAAGAGTTAGCTTAACCTTAAATTCCTCTACAAATACTCCTCTACAAATATAAAACCCTCTACAGAGTCTATGACTTGTTCTTTTATGCCCCCATTTGTATATAGTAGAATACGTATGATATTTTTAAAGTGCTCTTTTTGTTGTGAAGCTTTCATTAATTTAATAAAATTTATTAGTCCCTTAAAAATTTCCATACATTTTTTTCTATTTGAATGGACCAACACATTCTTTGGGGTGCTTACAAATTAGCAAGAAAAAACAGTAAACAACTAAATTTAATTACATATAAAAATATAAGGGACTGGGTTTATGGATCAGTGGTAGAATGTTTGCCTAGCATGTGTGAGGCACTGGGTTCGATCCTCAGCACTACATAAAATAAATGAATAAAATAAATGTCTATCAACAACTAAAAAAATTTTAAAAAAAAAGAATAATAAGGAGGAAGATACTTAAGAATTCAAGAGACATAGAAAATGGCCAGGTGTGATGGCATATACCTGTAATCCCAGCAACTCTGCCTGAAGCAGGAGGATCTCAAGTTTGAGGCCAGCTTGGGCATAAAAAGTTATATGTGATATGTCTTTTCCTGTTTAATAATTAATTCAATAAAAGCAAGGTTGCTGTCTTAGTCATTTTTTATGTCCATTAACTTGAACTGTACCTAGTAATATAGTATTCAATAAACACATGACAAATGGGTGGATACCCCCATTCAATCTGACCTTGCAATGAAACCAATTATGAGAAAATCCTGAGAACCAGAATATATTCTCCCTTCAATAATGAGATTCAGTTATTTTAAGGGTGTGGTGATGAACTAAGAAATTCAAACTTTATTCTAGATATTCAGAAGTAAATAGAATAGTTTTATGGTTTACTCAGAAAATACAATATCCATTAGTCTGATGTTTACAACTTTCAGTTTACAATTAAATAGGCTATCTGCTATATATTCAATTATAATAAGCAAATACCAGTAAGATTTTTTAAATCACAATTTTTAAAATAATTATTATTTCCACAGTAATAAATAAAATTCATTTAATAATGTAGAACAGATCTGATATAAGTTAAACCAAGTCTGAAACATTCAAGGTATATAAGACTGATCATAAAACTAAGAAATCAGAAGTAAGGTATCTTACTTCCAAACTAAGGTTAATCAGCACAATATTTATCACTACCATGGGACTGTTCCCTCAATTTAGTTAGCTAATTCCCTAAATTAATTAAAAATTATTTTCCCCTGTATTCCTGATACTTCAAATTATTTAAAACCTTAATTCCAATAATAACCACAAAAATAATTATATCTATATTGTAATGAGTATTTACCACATGCTACTTTCCAGCTCATATATGGTATCATATTCAATGCTTACACAAATCCTTTTTCTTGATATTGATATTCACTTGAAAATGAGCTTCTGAGAGATTGAATTACCTATTCTCACAAGCAATAAATGGGAAAAGAAGAAATATCTGGTTTCAAAGCCTCTGCCCTTCCTATAATAGTATGTCATCTCTCTTTTTTTAATATCGTCTCTCTTAATCTTCATCAAATACATTACTCAATCTATCCAGTATTAAAATTGGGTTAACCGTAATTTTAAATTTATGAAATGATAGCAGATCAAGGGCAAAACTAAAACCCTGAAGATAAACTTTCACCACTTCAAATATAACCAAATTGCAGCACAAAAAGAGATTAAAATCATGCTTTCCTTCACATGACAGGAGAAAACTTATAAAAATACTCTATTGAACAAATGATCTAAAATATCAATACAATTATTTCTAGATCGAATCTGTTTTTCAAGTATGGTTTCAAACATAGAAATAAGTAAAAAAGTTTTTCTAAATCAATAAGTCATTTAATATGAGGATAAAATTACTAATATTTTGAAGTTTGTTATTTTTATTCACAGAACTCTTAGAAATATAAAATGCTATACAGTTATTACTAGAGTGCTATATAATTTATCATTCAAATCTATATTTTTTCCAGAATAAATGTACTAATTACAACAGGACAACAGATTTAAACAGGACTATCCCAATAACTGGCACACACAGAGGCTCAACTATCGCCTTGTGACTCTTCCACTATTCATTATTCTGTCAGTCCTTTTGTTAACTATACACTGGACAATTATATACATGCCTGCTAGGTAAAATCACTGGCTACATAATTGAGTCCTATAGCATAATGTTAAAAAGAGTACTTTCTTTGTTAACTATCTATGTTTTAAAAAGCTATTTTGAGCCAGACACAATGGCTGACACCTGTAATCCCAGTGGTTCAGGAGGCTGAGGCAGGTGGATTGAAAGTACAAACTCAGCCTCAGCAACTTATGTAAGACACTGTCTCAAAATAAAAAATAAAAAAAGATGGGAGTGTAGCTAAGTTGTTAAAGGTCTCCTGGGTTGGAGCCATATAGTTAAGTGGTACAATTTGGGCTTAGAATGCCATAGGCCCTGGGTTCAATTTCTAGCATATGCGCGCCTGCACGCGCCTGCACGCGCTTGCACACACACACACACACACACACACACACACACACACACACAGACACGCACACACAAACACACACAGACAAAATTTCAAAAGCCTGTTTCATTAAGATGGTTCACATTTACGTAAAACTTCAATAACTTCAACCATACCTCATCCTGAAGTTCGTCACCACTCTTAACAGAAGCAAGCATGTCATACAAAGTACAGCAAAGATCTTCTATTCTTGGTGCTTCAGTCATTTCCTTCAAAGTTGCATTTAAGTACTTTTCAACTTCACACCACAAAAAGGAGCCATTTGTTTTTTCCACAGGCTTGAGCTCTGGGGTGGAATGCTCCTGAAAATGTTCATTCAGAAACTTTCTGTAATCTAGGCTTATAGTTTTCTGGGCTTCACCATTTATTGGCAGTTCATCAAAGTGGTCCAGATCATGCATGTCAAATGAAAATGCTAAATTTTTACCAAAAAATACTGTATCACTAGATTCCTTTTCTGTCTTCTGGACAAGAGCAGTAAGATCATCTTGATTAAAATGAGAAATGATTCGATTAGTGGCATTACAAGCTGTAGTAGCAGATGATGATGGAAAGGGACCAAACATCTGTTTGATAGCCTTTGTCTCCATGTGACCAACAGAATCCGTCAAGTGAAATGTCATAAACAGAAATGCAGCCCCACTTTCAATTGCTTCTCTCCCATTATCTGTTCCAACTATTCAAAAACAAAGAAACATTATTAGCTCAATTGAATCATGATTCAACTTACAATTTTCAAAATAAAATAACTACAAACATTTTGAGCTAAATCCCAACAGTCAAAACTTAATAAGGTAAACAGTCAATTCAGGAGCAGAAAAATCTATGCCCAAATTCCTGAAGAATTATCCTAGGTAAATAAACCATTATCAGTAATTAATCTATATGTAACTTCAGAAACTACCTAACAACAATCCTTTCTTAAAAGAATTTATAACACTAGCTTAAATTTATTTAAAACCAAACTTTAAAGACTGATTTGATGAGCTACTTAAATAAACCATAATAAGTGTAAAAAAAAATCTGAATTATAGACTGGAACAAAATCCCAATGATATATAACTGCCTTTCCAATTTGTACCATAAACGTACATGGCAAAAGACAGATTAGACAGACAGAGAGATAGATAGACAGACAGACAGACAGACAGATACATAAAAGTGAGCTAGCTCTCATTCAAAAGCATGTAATATAACCAAGTCTGAATATAATTAAAGAGCCATATGATAAAGCATAAAAGAAAGCTGCTATTTAAAAGAGACCAGAAGGAAATTCCTCATTACAGTAGAAGGTAAAGGAACAGCTCCTAATTTCTTTAAGACTTACCTTCTATATCCAATTTTCAGAAAGAAAAGAACCTGTTATTTGTGACAGATAATTTCAAAGAATATTGTTACAGCAAAAAAAAAGAACTGAAACTTCCAAGAGGTCCTAAAGTCAATGTGATTTATCTAAATAGTGGCAAAGTTAGTAATATAATTAACACTGGTACTTTCCTGAAAGCATGGCTCTGATATTATCACTCACAAATCTTAAACAGCTTACATAGCTGGATCCAGATTCCTACATACTTGGAAACTGAACCCATCACTTTTTTTTTTTTTTCAGTCTTATTATATATTTTCTGTTCTAATCAAAAAGGATTTTTTAACATTCAAAATCATCCCACCAGGCATGGTAACACCTATAGTCCCAGCTTCTCAGGAGGCTGAGGCACAAGGACCACTTGAGCCAAGGAATTCAAAGCAAGCCTGGACAATATAGGGAAATACTGTTTAAAAAAATAAATAAATTAAAAATTTTAAAGTTGGGAAAAAAAAAGAGATCTTATGCTATGCTTAAGTCCTTTCATATACTTATTTGTCTTCTTCCAGAGCCTCTGATTGTTCCAAATCCTGCCCACATTTACAATTCCAAATTTCAGTTGCCTGTTTCAAGGACAGTACAATGTTGTAGATTTTTTTTTTTAAATTTCTTCACTGTAACTAGTTACATATGACAATTGGTTGATTTACACAACACAGGCCTCACTGACTACATTTTTACACAATGCCTCAGTAACATTATATATTGATATAGAAGAGTAACAGTTTATATGTGTGAAAATAAACCATTTTATAATATTATTCCTACTTTCTTTAAATATGAAGTCTTGACTTTTATTATAAGTTAATTTATAGAACACAGGCATACAATTTTTCGTCTTGTATTTAAGAAAACACATGAAAAGGAGCTGGTGTGGTAGTTCAGCAGTAGAGCGCTTGCCTAGCATGTGAGAGGCACTGGGTTCGATTCTCAGCCCCACATATAAATAAAGGTCCATCAACAACTAATAAAATATTGAAAAAACTCTATAAACCATATAGTGCTTTTAAATTAATTGAATGAGACTTTGTACATTTGACTTATTCATTATGTACCTTTTACTTCTTGGAGATTTAGATTTAGGATATTTAGGGATTATGATAATTCTACAGATAATTAAACAAGTTTGATACTACTGATATTAAACTCTGAGCAAAAATGGAATTCCCATTTAGAAACTCATTCTTTATCTAAATTATAAATATACAGGCTTTTGTAAAGATGCCATTATCATCATTTTTCAAGTTGTATGTTTATAAAACAATATACTATAAACTTTCACAATATTATCTCCACTTTTTGGATGATAAAATGCAAACAGTTTGAAATTCTGGGTCAGATCAAACAACTAAATCATTAAACAAGATTCACAGCAATCTTAATTTCTAGACAAAAGTTCTTTTCACTACATCACACTGATTCCCTGTAAATTCCTAGAAACTAGATTTATGTCTAATTCTTATTTACTAAATAAATTTAAATAAATAAATCTTGGGAAATTATGCAATAAACAATAAAGTCCTACTATATCACTAAAATGGGATTAACTTAAATATTCGCTAATAAATTAATGGTTAGTTATGGTATAACCATAAATGGCATTCCTTAAACATGGAGGATTTACATATCTTGCCATAAAGAAAACACATTAAAAAGTAATGAGTCCATTTTATTTATTTTATTTTTATTTATTTAGCAGTAGCAGGGATTGATCCCAGGGGTACTCTACCATTTCTATTTTTAAATTTTAACACAGAATATCACTGAGGACCTCTTTCTATTTTTAAATTTTAAGACAGGATATCACTAAGCTGTCAGGGCAATCCTCAAACTTGGGATCTGTCTCAGTCTCCTGCATAAATGGAATTAAAGGGATGTACCACCAGGCCTGGCCCAAGTCCATTTTTTAATCAAAGGAAAATAAACATAGACTCTGAATATTTTTTAAAAAAAAGATAACAAATAGCATTTTAGGAATATAAAGATTTTTAATGTGCATTTTAATGTAATATTTTATTAACAAATATTTGTCTTGCCTACTTCACAGTTATACTATAAGATTTGAAAATACTTTAAAATTTTTAAACTTAGTTGAGTAGTGGTGCTTCATAAATGTTCACAGCCTTACATAATGACTAGCTCTTCCTCCATGCAACTCAATCAGATGTCCAAGTTAGACTTAAAACCCACACATGTTCACTTCACATAGCAGTTTCTCAAAAATGAATCTCTATGCACCTGCACTATGCTACTCTGAGGACTCAAAATCTAAGAACCTCACTAGCATTTGTTGCCACAAATAGCAACCCAACAAAGACGCTGACTACTGCATTCTGAAAACAATGGGTTTCCCAGGTCTAAGGCACAGGAGGACTTGTGGTTGTGCAGTGGGCCAGCAACCACTCAAGGGTGTCTCCCAGCTCCACCAAGGGGACCTGAGCTCTAGTGCTTGGTCCGCATTTAATGACATAGTTGACCACGAGTATCTGCTGTCAGCCTACTGATGAATGGGCTGATCATTGGAGGAGAATTCTAGACATTGTAGAAGAGAAGGTGGTACCCCAACTGGCTGGTATAACCAACCCATTAAGCCAGCGGTCTTTTGGCAACTGAAATATATGACTAGTGTTTGTAAAACACAGATAAAGTATCTGAGGAGTGAATTATCTAATGTACCAAAGTTCTGCAGGCCCTACCCTCATTCTAAAAAGGTAAATTGTCAGAGGAAACCTATGTGCTTTACTCTTAACCAAGTGAATTTACTCCAAAGAGCAAAACAGAAAACTTGGGTTTTCTTCAGGAAGGGGCAGCCTCAGAAATAGCACGTGATATGCTTCCAGAATACAAATCTGTAATTAGTCATGCCCTTGTTTTCTAACGTGCATCCAAATCCAGACATGTTACATTAATTGTGAGAATCTTGTTCCCAATTAACTTATTTACTTTTCTTTATACTTACACAAATTTTGTACTGAATTATCTGTTTAAATGGCCGGGCTGAAGTTAGTTAACATCTGCATTAAATTTCTCAAGCTTTTTCTATCTGCTTATACTCTTGTAACTCTAAAAGGACTGGGATTTTAAGTTGTCTAGTTTTGGCCACAAGATATTTTAATCAAAACATATTAAGTAACCAATTGGCAAAAGTGTCAGAAATTTCAGAACTTAAAGCTTTTAATGAAGTTAGTCTAGAAACCTAACCACTTGGATATCTAATTTTCTATCCATAAATCAATGAAAAAACCTAAAAAAAAAAAAAACTGGCTACAATATTTCAACTGCAACACATTTAAAGGGAGAGACTCAGAAAGACACTGGAATACTTTTTTTATTAGCAAATATTTGCCTTGACTACTTCACAGTTATATTGTGAGCAATGAGATGTGAAATGCAGAGTAAATTATAAAATATTTCTCAGAATACTAAGAAAAAGTCAAAATAAATGAAATAGTCCTGCCATAAATAACTAAGTAAAGAGCAGGATTTGAATTCAATTTATCTGGCTGATTGGAGCATTCATATTACAAGTCATCTTTAACCTTTAAAAAAGCCCTAAACCTTACGTAGAACTTTAGCATACAAAATGAAATAGTTGGTATTTTATTTATTACTTCAAGTTATACAATGAATTCTTTTAAATTAAAGAGTTGAGGAATGGCTACAATCTTAAATCATTCTCAACACAATTTATGTCTCCATTTTCCTTTGATTGCAAAATATTAAGAATTAAATAATTGTAAATTGTCTTTTCAATAGTCTGCCCTAATAGTTAAGAAATCCATGAAAAGAATGAGTAAAAATTTTAACTGAAAATTACATAAAAATATTAACTACTTACATCATTAATTGATAAGCATTCAATTTAGAAGCTGTCAACAAACTCCCTGTCCAGTTAACTCTTCACCATTTAGTAGAAAATGTTTTACAAATATCTTTTCTACTTATATTTTAATATTGAAATGTTCAAAACACTCAATTTTTTTTCATTTTTATGTCCAAACTTTAAATATCAGTTTTACCCCAACACTTGATCTGCAATTGTGAAAAACGATGTATTACAATCCTACATTATTTACGAAAGCTCATTCAATTTATTAAAAATCGGCAAGACAAGCAAAACTGGTATAAACATGTTATATATGAATAGAAAATAGCTACCTCACATTTTAATTTGATTACAATGTTTCTTTTAAAATATATATATAATATTTGAACCTGTGTCTTAATGTCCTAAGTCATTACATGTAACAAAGTACATTACACATAACAAAATACAAAAACAATCATTCAAACTGAGCATATACCATACCACGTTTCCATAATTTTCTTTCTCTATATTTACCTTCATAGTCTACTCGTCTAATTTTTAAACAAGTACAGTATATAAAATAATCTCATGAATCTTGCTTGTATTTTCCTCATTTTATAGAGAAATTCAGAAACAAGGAAATTAAATAACATACTAAGACTACAAGAAAAAGCCAAGTACAGTTGGGAAGGTGGAGAACATAGAGGTAAGCTTTACCATAAAGTTTTTTGGGAAATAATAAATTTATGTGATATATATTTAAAACTACCTAAATAATGTTATCTAATACAATGAACCTCATTTAAAGAGTGTAACTGTGCAAAGCACCTCAAGCAATACCTTATATTAAGTAGGCATAATGTTCAAGTATAGTCATTTTTGAAAGGGTAACTCTAATGCTAAGAATATTCCTACATTTATATATGAACTTTTGCCATTAAGGTGAGCAAATGATTAATGAAAAGCAAATGAAGAGTAGAATAGATGATGAAATTAAAATTGGTTCAAGGTACTTCCCTATGTTTTAAAAACAGCCACTTAATTTTATATATATTCATTACAAAATGTGAAGAAAATTACCAACCAGTATAAATATATTCCATTACTGTTTTTTCTATGTGATCTGAAGCATTTTTATTATGGAACTAAGGAAAAGAAAGAATAATTGCTACAGTTTTTGATATGGATCTAAATTTTCCCTCAAGAAATCACCTGGGAAATTTTTTTCCCATATATTTGAGAAATGAATCTTCAACAAAATCCTAAAATATGCAAGGCATTAGTCTAGCACTAAGGAAAGACTATTATCAATAAAAATAATGTACTGTTATCATGAAATTTACATCCTAGTGGCAATAAACAAGCAAAGTGTCAGATAATGATGTTATCAGAGAGTTTTATTATAAAGAGTGACTAGGTGACAACTTGAGATTGGATGGTCAGTGAAGACTTTGTTAAGGAAATGATTTTTTAGTAGAGCTCAGACTGACAAGAAAAGATCTACCCACACTAAGATTATGACAGAATAACACTCCCAGCACAAACAGCCACATATCCAAAGTCTCCAGTACAGGCAGTAGTGTGGTAGGTATGAGTAAGTGAGAAAAAGCCACATGTCTGAAGAACAACTGGTGAAAGCAAAGATGATGAGATGTTGTGAGGTCAGAGGGAAGGGTGGAGGGAGATTCCATGGGGCCAGAGAATGCGTTCGGAATTTCTGTAGGTACAAACCTGCTAAATCTGAAAAATTTAAACTACAGCACTGTTAACTATGCCTTTTAGCTAATCAAGAATTTGGAATAATATGCTGACTTTCAATGTACAAACAGGCTATTTCACCAAGTTCTTTTCTTTCATTTAGTTTTGTTTTTAACATTAGAAAAATAACCTGCATTAAGTACATTACAATTTCAAATTATAATCCATTAATAATGAAAATGTTAGTGTAGGTTGGGAACTGAAACAGTCATAAGATAGATTAAATGCCATGACTCACTATAGTAGGTGGTCATCTATAATAAGAGATTGAGCTACATGGCTTTTAATATTTCTTAGAGCTATATTAAATTTTTAATTAACCTTATCATTACTTCAGGCAGTGTCTCCATATTCTAAATTCCTATAAATCCCTCATATCCAATTATACTATAATTAATGGTTTACTTCCACCCCCACCACTCTATACTAAACTTTGAGAGGAAAGACTATCTTTCATCATTATGAACACTTGCTAAGAAATTTTAGCTTTCCATCATATAGTATATAGTTTATAAGGAATCTAGTTTGAAATCTGTCTGGTTCTTTTAAAAAAAAAAAAAACTATACCTATTTGTTTTGCAGCTTGTAATATGTCTTTTAAGTCTTCATTTATACTTTGCATTTCACTCTTCTCCAGGTTTTCATTCAAAAATGTTACTATATTCTTCCATGTCGGTCCCAAATCTAAAACTTGTTCATGAAGTTTGGATCGCTTTAGCTGAAACAAATAGCATAATACAGAGAACGACTGGTTAAATTTTTTCTTAAAGTCATAGCTTAGTCCATATATTCTGCAATATAGAATACAACTTGGCACTATGTGTAAGATTTTGAAGTTGTATCTACTCAGATCCAAGTTACTCTCAGAATGAACTTTATTTAAATGTGACTTCACAGAATCTCACTTGTCTAAAAGATAGGTTTAATAAAAGATTATTTTTTATAATTTTATTTACAATGCATACCCATCATGAATTTCTATAGCAAAGTAAAAAGTTAAACCAACATCCAGAAGATGGTAATAAATGATAACATCCCACATACCTCTTCCCAATTTCCTTTTTGTGTGTGTGTTGTACCTTTTTATTTTTATTTTCTTTAATTTTTATGTAATGCTGAGTATCAAACCCAGGGCCTCACACAAGCTAGGCTAGTGCTCTACCACTGAGCCACAACCCCAGCCCCCCTCTTCCCATTTTCTAACTGCTTATTTTTAATATCACTCGGACTATAATATATATAAATAAAAGCTTTATGTCCTACTTTATAATGAAAGGCATTTAAAGATAATTAGATTTCCATAGTTGATCTCAATATATTCAAGTCAATACTGCTCTCCTATAATACTATAACTCTTTGCTTGAGACTAACAATCTTTTCATTCACTAGAACTAACTACAGAAAGTAATATAAACTTAAAGTCATGAAACACTCTAACCAAATGAAAAAATGGCGAGTCAGGTAGAAACTGTAATTTTACTCTTGATTGTATTCATGATGTTTACTCATCATTACCTTCCTGTTTTCTAATTTTAAATGGGGCCGGTCAATCTGGGTTTAGTGGGGAAAGAATGGGCAAGGATAGATATGAAATATATCAGCCATAAAAAGAAGTGTTACAATAGGGTCATGGGTCCATAATGATTCATATTACTTTTATCTCTACTTTTGTATGTGTTGGATATCATCTCCACACATCCCTCAACCCCTACCCCCGTTCCACCCCACCCCCACTCCAGTCCTGGGGATTAAATTCAGGAGAAGTGCTCTACCTCTGAGGTACACCACCAACACTTTTTAAATTTGATTTTATTTTTTTTTTTTAAGAGAGAGTGAGAGGTGAGAGAGGAGAGAGAGAGAGAGAGAATTTTTAATATTTATTTTTTAGTTCTCGGTGGACACAACATCTTTTGTTGGTATGTGGTGCTGAGGATCGAACCCGGGCCGCACGCATGCCAGGCGAGCACACTACCGCTTGAGCCACATCCCCACCCCTTAAATTTGATTTTAAAGAGTGTAGTAGAGTGACAAAAGCTGGCCTCAAACTTTCCATCCTCCTGCCACAGCTTCCTGAGTGGCTGGGATTATAGGTGTATGTATCATGCCCAACCATGTTTGGCATTTTCTGAGATAAAAAGTTTCAGCTTTTTATATATACCACTTTTGGAAAAAAAAAAAAAAAAGGACTAAAAGCCAAAAGGAATAAATGAAATGATATGGGACAAGCACATAGTCCTTATTCACTTTCAAATTTTAAAATCTTCTGTTCCATAATAAATTCTGAATTACCTGCTAAAGGCCTTGAGGAAGAAGAAAAGAATTCAAGTGTAAACTGTCAATAGTAACTAATGGTATAGAATATACCCTATTTTTAGTGCTGTGAAAAAATATAAAATAGCTTCTATTGTAAAGGTTTACTGTTTTGTATCTGACACAATTCTGCATTGTTAGAGGAAAAACATCTAAAAACTGTTCTTCCTAGAATCAATCTTTAAGTGAGGCTATTAATAGAACTACATAAAGACTTCTAGCAATAAAATTCCAACCTACTAGGAAATATTATTATCCTAAAATAAAGTCAGGAATCAACACTTGAAGTGACTACTGTTTTTTAAAAGAACAGTGCAAGGTCAGATCCTTCACAAACTATTACATGGCTCATTTCTTCATATGTGCAGTTCATGTATAGTTTCAACGCTATAAAGTTCACAATAATATGACTAAACTTCCTAAACATTTACCTTTTTCTAGTGAAAAGTCAGTCCATTATTTATGTGTTGAAATGTCCTTAAAGGATTCAACTGATTCTTAATACTACTTTAATTTTTTAATAAATTTCAACAACTTAAAGATAAATGGTTTTAAAACTATCCAAAATACATTTTGGTATGAACAGCTACAGGTTTTGCTATGCAAAATCACATTCAGGAAGAAACACAGTAATCTAAACATTAAAAATAAATAAATTCATCATAGTAATACAAACATCCTCACATCTACCAACTGATCAAAATCTATATTTTATGGGCTCAACTGTGTCCCTCAAAATTTATATGTTGAAGTCCTAACTCCTAGTACCTCAGGATTTGACTGTATTTGAAGACAGGGCCTTTATAGGAGTAATTGAGTTAAAATAAAGCCATTTGAATGGACCCAATCCCACTGACTGATAAACATACAAGAAGATGAAATCTGAACACTTAAGGAGATACCAGCAACATGCTGATACAAAGAGAGAAGACTCAAAGGAAATCAAACCTGCCAATACACCTTAATTTCGACTTCTAGCTTCAGATTGGTGAGACAATAATTTTTTGTTTAGCCTTCCAATCAATGGCATTTTGTGAAAACTAACATACCACATGTCAAAGGCATTTCTAAGAATCTCTTCTAAATATTTTATAACTATATGCACAGTTTTTTTTCTGTAAGTCATGACATAATATACTTTTATTTCTGTTTAATACTAATTAAATTTGTAAGTACATGTAACTTTTTGATACTTTTTATACAAGTTAGTTTACTCACCAGGAGAAATTCTTTGTCAAACCATATACCCTAATTTGTAGTACAGAAAATACATTCATTGAACCTATATAGGACAGAGACTGAAGAAGTTCCTTTCATAAGACAAAAGTGACATTTCAAAATGATAACCATTTTGCCCTGGTGGAATCTATATTTACAGCAAAGGTAAAATTAATATTTATTGTATAAAATGACTCATGAGGAAACTTGTCCACATATTAGTTATTATGAAAAGTAGGAGTTGATATTTACTAGAAAAGCTAAAGATTCTGTAGTCAATGTAAAATTTTGTTTCTTATTTTGTTTCATATTTATTTTTGAAATTTTAATCATAAAGTGACTTTTTAAATAACAAGTGTTTTCTTAAGCTTTAAACACCTCTCATAAGAGGTTTAAGCCCAATTATAAGCATAAGCCAATTATAAGACCAACTACTGAGCTCAAGAGATTAATATTTATATTTCTCATGTTAAGGTACAGACATTGTTTCTGTTTGTTTGATAAAAATTTTACCAGAGACCTAAAAACTTACTCAGATAATTCAGAAGTAAATTACTGGATTATATCACAAAATAATCTGAGCAAGGGACCTTAGCAACAGAAAAATTATAGTTCTGATTATTCCTCTTGACAGTACAGTGATGGGTGCTTAATATTAAGTTGTCCCATAGGAACATCAGTACACCTACTCTCCTTCTTGGTCTCATGCCAAACAAGATAAACCTTCTATTTTAGCACAAAGAACAAAAAAGCAATGTCAAATATATGTACATACTCTATAAGAAATAAAGGTAAAAAACTTACCTTTAAGTCAGCCACTTCTTCACTATAATTATCTTGCTTGGTAACATTTGAAAAGGAGCGCAAGGCTCCTGTGAGGCGAGGCAAAGCCATCTATTTCTCAATCAGTGATCCCTGCAATGAGAAACCTGAAACTGAAACAAAACAAGATGATATTTATCTGTTCAGAAATGGGAGGTATAATCGACTCAAAAAACTGACCAATACAAGGCAAAGGGGAGAAAAAACAATTAAAAATTCTCCTGATACATTTCCAACTCTTGAAGGTTTTTTTTTTTTGTTTCATTTTGTTTTGTTTTAAATAACACATTTACTATGGTTGCAGAAAAGAAAAAGGAACAAATAGATATTTGTTTCAGGATATTACTATACTATTACTTCAAAATGACTTCTATACAGTATTTGAATATAAGCCTCAAATATTGTTTTACTACTACCAATAATATAAAGAGATGAAGAAAACTGACAATATTTTCCCCAATTTTATTTTACATGCACTGATTTCAAATTACACAACTTTCCAGTCGTTTTCTCTGTTTGCAATGCTCTTCCCACTGATGTTCATATATTTGGCTTCTTAACATGGAACTTTTTTGGTACTCAATAATTTTTTTTTCAATTAAAAAAATGAAGAAAAATGGAGAAAATAGGAACAGGAGAAAAAAAAAAAAAAGAATCAAAGCAGCTGGCGATGGTAAACTCCCAGGAAAAAAGAAAGTCAGATAACTATGTCTAGTCTCTGTTAGCATGCTGGCAATTAAACAACCAATCTCCAGGCAAATAGATTTAATAATATTTGCATTTGGAGAATCCTTATCTATCTCTTTTTAAGATTGTCCTGGCTTAAGATTGCTTATTAGAACAAAACTACTATTTACAGTTATAAAATCCCCAGAGAATGTCAAATAAGTTTTCTAAGTCTTAAAACAATGCTCAACTAGATTCCCTCCCCACACCACTCTCCACGGGACATTTGACAATATCTGGAGACATTTTGAGTTATCACAATTAGAAAGGAAGTGAAAGTGGTCTATGATTTCTGCTGGGTAGAAGTCAGTGAAGCTGCTGTACATTCTATAAAACACAGGATAGCCCCTCCACAACAAACAATTATCTGACCAAAACTGTCCAATATAAGAAGGAAAAAAAACAGATGGATGGGGGCAAGGGACATACAAGATATTTTAGACCACTCCCACCTCTGCTGTTCCTCTTAACTAAATCTCTATAAAGCTTAATACCTAGAAAATCTGACTCATATATTAAAATAATTAGATATTACATAACTGAGATTGAAAAAAATGAAAGAAGGATTTTTAAAATACTGAATAAGAACTTGCAGGGTTTGAAAATGTATTTTAGAAATAAAAATATATAATTGTTAAATTTGAAAACAATCAACAGATAGACTACAGAACTGACTAATCACAGCTAAAAGGAAAAGTATGACCTGAAAGAGAGCACTAAAGAAATAATCCAGCACACGTCACAGACAAAGAAGCTCAGTTGTACAGTGTTTGCCTAGCATGCACAATACCCTGAGGTCAATCCCCAGCACTGCCAATAATAAAGAAAGAAAAGAAATAAAAAGTATATTTGGGCTCAGAGTGACCAAATTAGTTTCCTGACCCCTGATATAGGTCACTCTCTGAGCAAAATATAATAAGATTAAAAATCAGAAACAAAATGATAAGATCTATAAACATACATAATTACACTGCAAATCAGTAAGGAACAGGTATGTGAACATACTTTTAAAAAACCAGTTGGAGTCTACATCACACTGGAGAATTTCAATCCAAAAAATTTGCAAATAAACTCCCTAGGGTAGCCAACTTTAGATTCCAACTGCCCATTGGGAATGAATTTAGGAGAGCATTTGTAGAAATTAAGATGATTCAGAAAGTTATAAATGAATTTTTCTAAAAGTGAGCAACATATTTCCTGAAGCATGTAGAGGAAAAATATGAAATCAGGAATTAGTGGACAGCATAGGGCAGAAATTTTCAATTTTTATTATTTATTAAAGTCACCTAGAGGGCTTTCTAAAACAAATTGCTGAGCCCTACCACCTTAATCTTCACCCCAACTTTCTGATATGGAAGATCATACAGCACTGAATTAGGGCATAAAAGTTTGCATTTCTAACAAGTTCACAGATGAAGCAAAAACTCTGCTGTCGTAGAGATGGTGTCCTTCATCCTTAAATCACCAGTTTTGCCCCAAGTCAATAGTGAAAAAAAAAAAACCCATCTAGTAAGAAATTGGGAGTCAGAATTTACGTGCAGTGGGGCTAGAGTTGTAGCTCAGTAGTAGATCACTTGTCTCGCAAGTGTAAGGCACTGGGTTTGATCCTAGCACTACATAAAAACAAATAAAAAGGCATTGAGTCCATATACAACTAAAAAAAAAAATTTTAATTCACATGCAGTATACATCCTACCAGCCTTTATCAATGGGGTTCTGTGAGATGATTAAATTCTATTGAATGATTGAATGTATCTTTTTTTTTTAAAAGAAAGAGTGAGAGAGAGGGAGAGAGAGAGAGAGAGAATTTAATATTTATTTTTTAGTATTTGGCGGACACAACATCTTTGTTTGTATGTGGTGCTGAGGATCGAACCCGGGCCGCATGCATGCCAGGCCAGCACGCTACCGCTTGAGCCACATCCCCAGCCCCGAATGATTGAATGTATCTTGAATGACTTTTTCTATTAATCCTCTCAAGGACTGTACATAGCTAGTATCATCTACAGAAAACTAAGGAGCTGAGAGCATAGTGGCACACACCTGTAATCCCAGCAACTCAAAAAGTTGTGGTAGAAAGATCACAAGATTGAGGCCAACCTGGGCAATTTGGCAAAGCCCTGTTTCAAAAAAGTTTTTAACAAAAATTTTAAAAAGGGGATGTAACTCAGAGATAAAGCACTCCTAAACCCCTGTTTAATCCCCAGAACACACATACACACACATACACACACACACA